TTCTTCAAACTAATGTTCTAAATTCAATTGCAAGCACCTAATATTATTTGTTCATAGAAACCTGCAGCCATTTATTCTTTAAAATAACTTTTTAATGTAGTGCCAAGGTCCCATAATGACAGCCCTGGAGAATGAAGTATTTTGTCCACAGAAGTGACCATAGTAACAGGTGCTAACTTATTAGAAGTTAATAAATAGGTATAGCTTGAACTTCAGCAGTATAAGTGTCCATATTGCCCTGTCAGTGAGCCTCCATCCTGACCTGGCAGGACCTACTCTGGACAGCTGGAAGAGCCCTGACAGACTGCCAGCAAATTGCTAAATAATACTGATTGCAATGGGAAATTATTGTAATGTTACCATAGTTCATCTGGGAACTGGAACAAGTCCACAATCGTGCTCCATCCTGGCTGAATGGTCCCTAAATGTTGTTACTGGCAATCAGCTTTAAGAAACAGTATTGTTTCCTCCTGCTACATATAAAGCAGTGGTTTTCAAACTGGGGTATGTATACCCCTAGCTCTTGTCGGGGGTACACAAGAAAAATCCTTTAATGGCAGACAACACATCTTGTTATCCTTTATCGACCTTTTCCCCCCTGTTTTCATAGGTATATTCTGACCCTATCTCAGATGGGGGTATGCAGTAGGCTACATTATTTGGAAAGGGTACTCAGCCTAAAAAGGTTGTAAACCACTGATATAAAGTTAACTTTGGCTATTTAAAAAAATCTTCCAGTTAAATTAACCTTAAAAAATATCAAAGACATCTACCACATATGGGAATACCCCAAATCCTTGTCAGGTTGGCTCAAAACCCTGAAGTCAATGGGAGTTTTGCCATTGACTTAGTGGGTCAAGGATTTTACCCCTTGTTATTTCACTTGGCCTTCCCAATTCAGAACTGCTTCAAGCGAGGTCTGAACTGCACTGTGCCTGAGTCTGAGGCTGTGATTCTGCAGAGAACTATGCACATGAGTTCAGTAAGACTATTCATGTGCTGAACTTTAAAGCACATATATAAATCTTTGCAGGATCAGTGCCTGATTTTTGTTCCAGTTGAAAGAAGACTATGTAGGAGAACTGTGCTGGGTATACACTATGCCCTGCCTTCCAAAATATATTGGTTAAAACTTAGGAGCATTTATTTGATTCTTAGAGGTAAAAATTTACACAACTGCTTTAAAAAGGGACGGCTGGTATATATCATTCATTGCCAAAAGAGCTTTATGGGGAATAGTGTAATAAATTTAAGAATCTTACTATCCTCTTTTGCATATTGACAGCTGTAAACATCTGCTAAGAAAGCCATTCATTGTTTCTCATAAAGTACTTGTTTTGGAAGGTCATCGACTATCATGTGTTCTGGAAAAATTAAATTGTAATGTCGTTTGGAAAAAGTGAACAGACAGATTTGTTTGGAGGATTTCTGATGTGTGACTTCAGACTCTCACAGTATAAACCATAGTATTAATACTCTATTCCAGAAATTAAGCCTTAGCAAAAGGAGCAGAATTCATAGTCAGTTTCAAAACAAAATATATAGCAGACTGTTTAAAACATACATTGCTATGTCAGTGTGAGATTTCTCTTCCCGATGTTAATCTTTATGACTTGAAACAACCTTTTCCGCCCCTTAAAATTATATCCCAAATAACTCCTCCCCTATTGCTCTCACAGACACCCACATATCTGAAACAGAAAAAGCATGAATCAAGTTGACAGAGAGTATTCTTGCTATTGTATGTTTCATTTCATCTTTAAATGTAAGGTTTTGTGCATAATGCACTAAATAATTTTTAATGGAGTTTTGGGCAATCAAAAACGCACCAGTGTTTTTCCCATCAGTTCTCAGCTTAGTTAAACTATTCCAAGGACAGGGTAAAAGTACAGGGTTGTACATTAGAGGAGTGTCTTTGTGATACTATTCATTCTCTGTTCTGACAGAGAAGGCATTGTTTGCTCCCTGTAATACGCTTGGCAGCCAAATAAGGTAGAGATTTGTGCTGCGCATACAGAATCAGAAAGTAGCAGAGTGGACAAGAATATCAGAATTCCAAGAATTGGATTAACTAGAAGACGGAATGTTATAATGTGCTGCTAATAGCTTTTCATGGTGTCTTTGGTAGAATAGAAATGGGTTCCTGGATGAAGAAACCTTTTCAGTTGAAGGTAATATTTTCACTTGTATGGTAGCACATTAGTTAATGCTGTTTAATCCATTATTAATTAAAAATGCACACAATAGGAACAGAATAGTTCAGCAGTGTGCAGCATTCTTTGGAAGAATCGGCAGTTTAGAACAAACAGTAGCTTGATAATACTGAGTCTTGCAGAAATTGAGGATTATTTAAGTTCAGACCCGTTCCCCTTTTAGAGCAGCTCCCATTACCATTAATGAGAAATTCTTTATGTGCTCCCATCAGAGGAAGAAAAGACCATTTAGTCTTTCAGCCTTCATTTTATACTTAGCAGCTACTGTATATATGCAGTGTGACTGAGTATTTTGCTAATAGAGCTGCATTTCTGTATGGCCACTAGATAGGATAAATAGCTCTGCATGTTACCAGATACAGTTCTGTGCCTCTCAGGTGTTCCCTGTGGTAAAAAAACATTCCACACTGTGGTGAAAAATTAACATTTGCTCCACATAGTGCCGCAAAAAGAAAAAAACAGCTTGTGTTTATTAAGCAATATTTCTTCTGGCATTTTGTGATTGCAAATTGTGCTAAGCAGTTTTTTATGTAGTAATGCAGATGTATTTCCCCTATGTCCTTACCAGCTAAATGGCAATTTTTTGTAGCGTTTCTACTTTATTTTTCATTTTTCTACTTCTATAAAAAAATATATTTTGTCTGAGCAGTTACAGGTTTTCTGGTTGTTTTTGTTATTGTCATCCTCTGTGAATGTTTCAGTTGTAAGAGCATTATTGGAAGTGTTCATGCTGCATTAAATAGCCATTTTTGGTTTAATAAATACAGTATGAACATGATTTTCAAAAGTCAGTCACTAATAATTTTGCGTGCCCAACCTGAGATGCCTTCAGAGGGTGGGAGCTCAGTTCTGAGTCAGGTTCTCTTAAGGTGTCTCAAGTTGGACATCCAACACCTGGAGAACCTGAAATCACTAGTGACTTTAGAAAATCTTGGACTCTGGTACTTAAACAGAAAAGGAATCAGAAATGAGGAAAGTCTGCTGCTCACAATAGCAGATCTTGTGATATACCTCTCCTTTCTTACTGTATATCGCAGCACCAACTGTTGCACATCTGGAGGCTTTCATTCAGAAAAACATTGCCAGTACCATCTGTGTGCCTGGTACCATGTGCCAGTTCCACATGGCACACTCTACTTTGTGCTCCCGTGCTGTTTCAATCTCCAGGAACCACCATTTCAAATAGCAAACACATCACGTTGTATGGGAAATCATCGAAACATGCGGATAATGACAACAGCAGCCGTTGCCTATCAGACTGAACAAAAGGCTGCCAAAAACAGTAGGGATTACTAGCTGACCAGCTAAAGAGTAGGGAACTACAAGCTCACCACCCACAAGTCAATCGCCACACTGGGCCAACAGTTAAGGAGTGAAAAGAAAATATCATTTGGCCACAGGAGACAGAGATGGTGATAGGATCTCACTTGAAAATACTGTACCTGAAAATAAATACTGTCGGCAGTACAGGGTCTGGTCTTCCCTTGATACACATGTAACTCCTATGAACCCTTATAGAACTAGTGAGGCAGCTATAAGATGGAGTTGGGTCCGAACTAATAGAAAGAGCAAATCTTGAGCCAGCCTCTTTGCTCCCTGCTAAGAACAGTCATCCCTCTTGGCTGGCCTGCCTGAAGTGGTCCGCCTCCTATTGCTTCTGGATCCGACCACTTCCTTCATGCTGGGAAAGAGAACAGGCCCAGGGTCCCATGGCATGAGAGGCCAGGGCTGACGAGCTTCTGGCCCAAAGCCTAGAGCAACTCTTGCAGTCAGGCCAGCCAATGAGGGTCTGTGGGCACAGAGCAGGAGAGAAGAGTTCACAGGTCAGGTTTTGGGGAACCTCGGGAGGATTGTGGGGTTCTCTTTATGGGAGGGAGAGGGAGGAAATGTAGGAATGGAAATGGGATTCAGAGCAGGAGGATGGGAAGTGGTTAGATTCTCTGAAAGAGTGTGTTCATCTGAGAATCCCAGCCAGTGCAGAGTGCTGAGGATAGATACTCTGTTCTTCTAAGTCCTAAGAGCTAAACATTTGATAGTCCATTAAAAGTTCTCAGAATCATAGGGTGGCAAAATTCACTTCTGCTGATGGTGGTAATAGAATTACACCTGCTCATCCCACTAGTGTAGTTAGCCCATCAGGTTTAATCTTGTTAATTTCAATCCTTTTAGGAAGGTAAAAACAACAACAACAAAACATGCATCCTAAGAAGTGGGTATTCACCCACGAAAGCTCATGCTCTAATACGTCTGTTAGTCTCTAAGGTGCCACAGGACTCTTTGCTGCTTTTACAGATCCAGACTAACATGGCTACCCCTTTGATACTTAACAACAAAACAATACATCAAAATAAGGCACTCTTATTCTGAACCTATGAATGACCTGGCTTTGGTTGGTTTAAGGCCAACATTTCACATCACTTTTTGTACTGGAGTTTCATCTTTTAATAAGGATGTTGCTTAATTTGCCAAACAATTATATAGCAGTTATTCACTCAGTTAATAAAAGATGCTGGGACAGGCATATGTGCACCAAAATGCCCTATTCACATAAAACTCTTACTTAAAGTTCGTTCGCTGAATGCCAGATTTTTAGTGTATATATAATAACCATTTCCTCTGGTGTGTATTAGACAAAACAGGCAGAATCAGCTTGAAGTGGAATGCTTTTGGCTTTCACAGTTATATTTTCTATTCTGTACTGGTATTTAGAAACAAAAAGATAGATCTGTGTTTACAACTTACAGGCAGTGCTTGCAATAATATTTTAACCACTACTTCATTTTTCAGCACTCAAGCTTTGTTTCCCTGTTGGGAGGACCTGCATGATAACCTCTGAGGACACTGATGCCAGATAGGAGACACCCACTGAAAGTAAGATTTGTTTTGTTTGTTTGTTTTGATTTGTTAGTTTGTTTTATTTATTTTTTTTAATTTTGCACTTACTGAATTTCCATATGACATTATTTCACATGGCAACTAGTGTTTTTCAAGTATGAATTACATATACTGTCATTTTATCACCCTGTGCTAACAAACATGTGATGAAAATTTAATTGCATTATACATGGGGTAATGACATTTTTAAATAGTGTTGTAGATTACAGTATTAAATTTGCAAGCAGAATTTTTCCTGCTGGCTTTAAACTCTCTGGGATGGTGCTCATGGGGGAGAGGCATGTCATATGTTCCTTGTATCTTTTATATAGCAGATCAGTGAAATACTTTACTGCATTCTTCATTAAAGGCTGGGGTAAAAAATGAGAGCCAAGGTTTGCTTTCTGGTTCCCCATGAGAACCACCACTCTTCCTCCTACTACCTCGCTCTTCCTCATTTCCCCAATCATGCAAGTTCTCTTTTTCCTAGCTCTGTGCTCACTTCTTCTCCATCTCCTCTTTCCCTACTTCTCAGAGCTTTGTTCTCTTCCTCCTTCTCCTAGTCTTCAGAGTAGCAATGAGTAAGCTATTCTCTCTGCAAGGCCATCTTTCCCCTTCTTTGGTCATTTGGGCCTCCCTCACAATGACAGGGAGCTCAGCTCACTATTGCTGCCAGGGAACAGAATTACGGGAAGCTTTGCCTTATTCAGCAGCAGATACCTTTTCTTTCTACACCCCTCTGCTGCCATGTTGCAGTCTCTGCAGCTGGCAACAAGTGCATGCTGAGTAGATGGATTGGACAACACTGCTTTACCCACATAAGTTCTAGGTTCCAGTCTGCCTTTGTTATAAAGACAGCTGCAGAGGAAACAGGACTCAGAGGCCCAGTATACACTGAGAAAATTCATCACAGCAATGTGTTAATGAACACAATATAATTAACACAATGTAAACATAGTTTTGCCTTTAGCGTGGTCAAGGACTGTCATGGTCAGAAGCATGTTAGCTGGTGATAGTTAACTTTAGAGGTACCTTGTGTGCATGAGGTGCGTAGTCATGTTTAATGCCCTGTTAGTCAAAATGTGTGAGCTAACAAGTTCTCTAGCATAATCCATATCCCCCGAGCTAGGAGACACTGCTGCATTCTCCTCTGAGGGTGAAGGGCTTTGAGGATGTATGGAGGGTCGGGGACATAGCCTTGCAACTATGTAAAGCGTAAGGTTCAGTGGGGAAACTCAATTTCATCCCAGCAGGCTTTGAGCATCCATGCATCTATCACATTTGGTAGTTGTGCATGTGAACAAGCCTCTGATAGTGTGGCTGATGTGATGGTGTCCCCTGAATAGATATGTGGACAGAGTTGGCAACGGGCTTTGTTGCAAGGATAGGTTCCTGGGTTAGTGTTTTTGTTGTGTGGTTGCTGGTGAGTAATTGCTTCAGGTTGGGGGGTGTCTGTAAGCGAGGACTGGCCTGTCTCCCAAGGTCTGTGAGAGTGAGGGATCGTCTTTCAGAATAGGTTGTAGATCCTTGATGATGCACTGGAGAGGTTTTAGTTGGGGGCTGAAGGTGACAGCTAGTGGTGTTCTGTTATTTTCTTTGTTGGGCCTGTCTTGTAGTAGGTGACTTCTGGGTACTCTTCTGGCTCTGTCAATCTGTTTCTTCA